AGATATTACAGGTACTTGTTTAATCTCAAGAAAAAGGTTAAGAACAAGGCGCATGTTAAGGCTTCGATATGTGAGGCCTATATTGTTGAGGAGATCTCAACATTTATCTCGTACTATTTCGAACCTCATCTGAGAACAAGAATCAATTGCGTTCCCCGGCATGATGATGGTGGTGAAGTGCCTTCCAGTGAGAACTTGTCAATATTCTCCAATATTGGACGACCCATACCTAAAAATGCCATAAAAGGAAGATATTTGTCGGAAATAGAGTTCAAACAAGCACACAACTACGTTTTATTTAACTGTGATGAGCTGAGACCTTTTATTCAGTAAGTTTATATTAATTAAACTTTGTTAGTAATATATTGTTAATTATATATTGTAATATCATACGCTCATTATCACTTGCAGGCAACATCGACAATATTTGCTCTCCAAAAACTCATAGTTGATCGAATCCCAGATCTTTCAATTACAAGATGAGCAGTTTGCCACGTGGTTCAGAACACATGTAAGCACTATCACAAACTCATTCTAACTTGCAAAATTACTGTACGTATGCATGTCATTACGAGATTCTCGTTCATTTACTGTTTATTGATGCACATTACATACAAGGTTTATCAAATGGGAAGGAGCACACCTAAGTCATTGTCTTCACTAAGCCTTGGGCCTGAAAGAAAATGTAAGTGCTACAACGGGTATTTTATCAATGGATATGTTTTCCATACTGAAAAATACAGGCAAGGAAGAAAGACATATAACAACGATGTTTGTGTTAGGGGATCCACTAGTAGTAAGTTAGAAGTTGACTACTATGGTAGATTAGAAGAGGTCGTCGAACTGCAATATCATAACGAGTAGAATAGAGTGTTTTTATTCAAATGCTATTAATATGACACGACTGACAGAGGAATCAGAGTTGATTTGCACTATGGTTTGGTCGAAATCAACTCAAAAGCTAGACTCTGCAACATAAACGATGTCTTTGTTCTCGCAAAGCAATGTCAACAATTTTATTACACATACACCCTTTCATTTAGAAAGGATCAATCAAGAGTGAATTGGTTGTCTGTTTTAAAAACGAAACCTCGGGGTCTTGTCGAGGTTGTTCAGGATTAGAACGAAGACACAAGTGTGCGAGATGAAGTCTTTCAAGTTAGTGAGGTAGTTGAACCATATCAAGTTGCTCCTTCTATTGAATTGGAAGAAAATTCAAATTTTCATGTTTTCAATGATAGTCTTATTGATGTTGACGCAGAGTAGTTGAATTTTGTTTTAAGCTCTAAGGACAAGCAACTATCGATGAAGAAGATGATATTCATATTGAAGATTGTGATGAAGGTGGTGACAATTCAATTGATGACGATGAAGAAGAAAATTCTGACTAACTACCAAAATTACCCTATGTAAAACCCTTTTTTCATGTAATTTAGATTATGGATGATATATTTTGAAACACAAACTATTTATTACTTGAAATAATTAGTTGAAATGTCACAATTATAAAATAATTACTTGAAATAATTATTGATCATGGACGATATATTTTGTAACATGAAATAATTACTTGAAATGCCACCACATCACCGACGGCCACACCGACGAAATACAAATCCGTCGGCATTTCACAGAGAGTTCGAAAATAATTACTCCAAATGCCACCACATCATCGACGGCCCCAAGACCGTCGGCATTTCACAGAGAGTTCAAAAATAATTACTCCAAATTCCACCACATCACCGACGGCCCAAAACGTCAGCATTTCACAGAGAGTTTGAAAATAATTACTCCAAATGCCACCACATCACCGACGGCCACCCCGACGGAATTAAGTCTGTTGAACATGTGGCAGCGGATCAATTTTACCGACAAACTTACCGACGGACCGCACACATTTCAAAGCGTTGTGCATTAAATGCATCTCTGACCGCGTCATATTGCCGATGGATTTACCGACAGACCACGAAAAATATGGAGGGACATTAAAAATTTTGGTGCGAAATTCAAAATTTACCGACGGATTTTTACACCTTACCAACGGAATAAATTAAAAATAATAATTAATTTTATATCCATCGGTTAGTCCGTCGATAAAGACCGTCGATGAGTCCGTTGGTAAAACTGCCATATAAGTGCCTCTGACCGCCTCTTCAGTTCATTTTCTCTCCTCCAAAGTTAATCACCTTTCTTTTCCTCTCCGTTCTAATCTCCCTTCTTCACCGGCGATATCAAGCTTTTTTTGTAGTGAATCTCCATCAATTGAAAAGGTTAGTGTTTCTTCTTTTTCATTTTACTAAAAAGGTTTTTTTTTTTTTGCTATTTTTTTGTTATGTTTTTTGTTTTGGTGTATTTTTTGTAATGTACATAAAATCCATAGTTTTTGTTTGCATAATTCATTGCTAAAGTCTATAGTTTTTTTTTTAATATTTTTTATTGTTATTTTGGCATAATTATTATTAGTTAATTTGTTGAATATTTATTGTTAATGTTGAATTTAGCTTAGGATTAGTAATTGAATATGTTGGAATAATTATTAATTTTACTTTACTATTGCATGATTTGGGTTTAATTTGTTCCATTTATTGTGATTGTTATTCTAGAGTTTTTTTTTAATTTATTGTTTTGTTGTATTGGCATAATTATTGAATAATTTTTGGAATTGTAATTTTTAATGTTGAATGATTAGTACTTAAAAGTGCATTTTTATCATGGTTTTATATCATCATTTTGCACTTGAAGTATCAATAACTCCTTAACCAAAGCATGTTTTATAATAATATATCTAATAATATAAGATACCTTTAATTTGTGGTAAATGTCTATTTTTAATGCAGGCCTATCACATAAATGAAAGGATTGATTGATGACTTGAAGAACTTAAATTGCAAGGATAAAGAGATGGCCAAACTTAGAAAAGAGATGTCGGTGCAATCCAAACCGGAACACTGTTCGGTAATTGGGTCATATCTAGAGCTATATATCTCAGATTTAGGTCTAATTTATATGGATGGAAAGGTAAGTCATAGGCCTACAACTTTCATATGGAGCCCAAGATCTAAAAAGGCCATTATCAAGTCCAAATTGTAGCAACAACAAAGAAGCCCGAATCTGTCTTCCAGCCCGAGCACTGTTCGGTATTTTGGTCATATCTGGAGTTCTAGAAATCCAAATGAGCTGAATGTTTTATACAAGAAAGCTGAGACAATTGCCTACAACTTTCATGTTTGCAACTGGCTCCAGTTTTGACGTTATCAATGACGTTTTGGGCAGACAAGAGAAGATAAGGATTGTCACCAAGTCAAAAGTTGGCCACCCACTTATCAATTAGTCATCAAATCAATAGTTCCCAATTTTGGCCTATAAAAGGAGGCATTTGCCATGCATTTAGGCATCTTGGTTTCCAGATCAAGATCATGCTCTTCCTTTCTCTCTTTGTATTTTTTGTAATGTTTATGCTTTGCTTTCATTAATATTAAGTTTATGTCTTTCATTTCCTTTCCTTTACTTAGTTAACTTTTATGTTCTTATTTTGTTTATCTATTTTGCTTTCTTTCATTATGTCTAGCTAAGTTAGTTATGTCAAGGTGAAAAGGTTACACTAATGGTGTAAGAATAAGTATAATGTAAACTTAATATGGACTTTAATGTTTGATACTAACATGTTTTATATTTGTTATCTTGTTCACTCTTTAATACTTTGCTTGTTAAATGACTAATCTTGATTTATGTTGTATAACACTTGGTACAACAAATGCTTGGCACTTTCATAGCCCATAATGTATGGTATAACCGACACCTGAGCTATGAAAGGAACTTGATTTGTTGTTAACATAAGTTATAATCATGAATGCTTGACGAGATTTACAAGTATTAGCATTAATGGAATAAGATGACTAATGTAATCATGTTAACAATATATAATCTGATTGGAACCTCCTTTGTGTGTGGTTTCCAATTCAATAATAAGAGTTTATACTATACTTGTTTGATATACCATTAGTGGAACCTCTAACCTTGACATTTGTTATTATTATTGTTTAATCCTTACATTAATATTTCATCTCTAAGTTCTCATCATCATCATCTTCTTCTTCTTCTCTTTCTTTATTATTATTATTATTATTATTATTATTATTATTATTAGTACTACTACTACTACTACTACTACTACTACTACTACTACTATTATTATTATTATTATTATTATTATTATTATTATTATTATTATTATTATTATTATTACTGTTGTTGTTATTGTTGTTTTATTTACTACTACTATTGTTGTTGTTGTTAACCTCCCTGTGGTTCGACCCCGGTCTTGCCGGGTTATTTATTACTTCGACACTTATTGTTGTTTTATAATTGTTGTTTATAATTTGTACAATTAACCTCCATGTGGTTCGACCCCGGTCTTGCCGGGTTATTTATTACTTCGACACTCCTGCACTTGGGAGAAGACATCAATCTTTTAGTCGTGTCATTGAATTTACCTTAGGATTAGGAATTGAATATGTTGGAATAATTAGTATAGATTGGGTAAATTGGTTGTGGCTATTGTTAATATGTGTAGGTTTGTGGATTTGGGTAGTATCCAGTATAGGGGAGGTGCTGTCAATTTTTTTTTTTTAACATTTGAATTTAATTATATAATTATTTGTATAAAATTATGTAGATGCGTAAATCGAAAACCAGAGCTCGTCGCTCACGTAAGGTCGTAGCTAGTTCATCTAGCAGCGATGATGATATCTCCTTAGGTGCCTCTGAAGAAGAGGCACCCACACCACTTGCGTCGTCAACTGATGCTGCCTCTTCCAGCGCTACTTTACATCGCAGAGGCTGCATGCCTTCACAGCGGAATCAATTTACTCGCCAGTACGAGGCATAGTGGAAGGATGACCTTTCAATATAAGTTTGTTAAGGTTTTAGTTTTTTCTTTTTTATATTACAACATAATTTATGAAATAATTACTATTGAATTTATTTCATTTATTTTCAGGTTCACAAACATTGAAGCCGCCCAAGTAATATCATCGGCGTTTAAATCGTCGATGGAGATTCCATTGTTTCAATAGAGTCAGATATCAAAGCATCCTGAATGGATGCCTCAAATCAATGCATGGTTTAACAGGTTTGAGGTTGGTATTAATTTATAATTTTCAGCTTATTAATTTAATTGTAAATAAATTATTTTTTTATCTAAACTTGTTCATTTATACACAGTACAAATTCTGCCGGGACAGTGAGCATAACACTGTTGTGAGGAGGGTGTGGGAAAATCACGCGGCAACTAGGTAAGATCGAAAACAATACAAGATTTTTTTTAAACAAAAATTTATATTTCAAAATATAATTTTTGGTTGCGTGACGTAGGTTGCGTGATTTTTGGTATGAAGCACAAAGAAAGGCAAAAAAAGCCGCGAGGGATAGGGGTTTACAAGGGATAGGGGTTTGCGATTTGGAGGGATTTCAAACCGATATACATCCCGGAAGATATATGGTCGCACTATATTGAGCATGTGACGTCTGAGCTGTTCACACAACGCTCACGGTCTAGTGCTGGCAACCAGAATTGGCCAATTCATGGCGGGGTAACAACGTACACTGGCGACTCCATTCCATTTGCTGCACATGCAAAACGAATGGTAAGATTAATTTAAATGAAATATATCGTTAAATTCAGTTGTTGTTAATATATCTTTTTTCATTATAGGCTACGTCTCTTGGACGTGAGCTGAGCCCAATGGAGTTATTTGTGGAGAAGCACGTGCGAAGTCAAGACCGCCAGAAGGGGGTGCAACAGTTCGTTGATAATCATGCTCAACATTTTATGGTATGTTTGTTCAACCATTTCATTTTGTAAGTTATTATGTTTATTGAATTGAATATGATGATTACTTGTTTTTATTTTATTTTCAGGAGACCTATAATAATCGGTTGAGGGAGAGATATGGGGATAATATTTTGAACCATTCGGAATTCGATCCGGATTTGTGGATGGAGGCTGGCTCCTCAGGTGGACCCGATAAAAATTGGATTTACGGGCTCTCCAACACTATGGCTGACAACTTGCAGTCGACCTGTAGTGTTTCAACTATTGGGAGCTCCTAATCAATATCGAGCTTCAAATCTAAGAAGTTCAAGGCCTTGCAGCAACACACGGCTCAGCTCACCGAGAAATATGACCACCTATTAACGAAGTACGCGCACCTCAAAGTATCTCAAGAGCAATAAAAAGCAGAGTATGCACAACAAAAGGCGGCTTACGAACAACTCTGTGAAATGGTTTTGAACATGGCAAATAGTGGAACATGTGCGTCTAATCCTTTTTGGCCGTATAACCTCCAGCCTCCTCCAGGATCTTCTCCTCCTCCTCCAGCTCCACCTTTATATTAATTTGTAATAAACATTATTTAACTTTAAAACTTCATTTTATATTTTTTTTTAAACATATTCAGTTTGTAATGAATATTATTTAACTTTGTTTTTTTCCTTTAATATAAATTTTATTTGCATAATTGATTTTCATTACAATTAATTTACATAGTTTTATATTATATATCCTAAATAATTTTTGAAAAACAAATTTAGAAAAAAACAATTACTAATGACTTCATACACTCACCAACCGAATTGCCGACTGCATTACTCTGTCGGCATTTAACAGGGGCTACCACACTTACCGACTAATTTATAGATAGATATATTCGGTCGGTATTTCATACACTCACCGACCGACTTACCAACGGAACAACTCCGTTGGTATTTGATAGTAGCTGCCACACTTACCAATGAATTTATAAATGGATATATTCGGTCGGTATTTCATACACCCACCGACAGCCCTATCGACGTTTAGTGTCCGTCGGTAAATCACGATATCATCGACGGAATACAAATCCGTCGGTATATTCAAGCGGGAATCTTTTTTTTTTGGCGTGCAAATTCCGTCTGTAAAACCATCGGCAAATGGTTTTTTTGTTTTTCCGACCAATATAGCGACGGAATGTTGAATCACCGACGAAAGGTAACCTGATGGACGTAATCCGTCAGTGATGACGTCGGTAAAAAAATCACCAACGAACTTCTAATCATACACCGATGGAATTTTTTCATTGGTAAAACTATGAAATCTTGTAGTGTTTACTATCAATGTGCTTATTGTTTTTTTTTTCAAAATAAAAACTTGAAAGGGAAGAAGAGAAGCATAATTGAAAATTCGAACTTCTCGGCGTTCCTTAATACTCCTAGATGACCCCATTAATCGCAAATCTGGCAGCAGACCTTATTGAAAGCTATTATGCAAAAGTATAAAAGGCCTAAGCATGAGCCTTTATTTTTAAAAATGAAGTTTAATGGGGCTTGTACGAGCTATCACATTTTTATACTTTTGAAAGTAGAGTCGTCATTCCAGTCGTTGCTAAAGGAGCAATTAGTCATTGCAATAAAACCACACGTGAAGGTATTGAAAACTGATGGAATCACACCACCAATTCTGAGATATTACTATAATCTCATCTATCTTGTTGTTACCAGATTTGAAGAGACAATTGTTCTCTTAGGTGCCCTTTGTGTTCTGCCCACGTTCTGTATTTGAATTAACACAATAACTTGTTGCTTATAATATCCTTACTATATACAAAAAGAAGTGTGTATTTTTAATTAACTCCTTTCACCATTTTGTAGATGTTATTGGTAGATTGATCAAGGCTATACAACCAGACGTGAAAATGTTGCTCCGAGGAGAAAGGTTGGAAGATAAGCCTGAGTTTTCTCTAATCAAATAATACTGCTTATCTGCCCATCTAAGATATTGTTTGCCTTCATGTCTTAAAAAGAAGTTGGATTCACTGGAGGAGATGATTTCCAAGTCACTTTGCGGGGGTGATATAGCATACCAATTGAATGAAACAATAATTCAAGAGCTACAATCTCCAATAGTTACTGTTTTAGCTGGATTCTGAGTTAATGAATTCCGTGGTAACCTTATAAATTTGTAGAAGCAAGCTGCTAGATATCGAAAAGGAACTCTTCTTATTTCTCCACCGCCTTTTCGTTACCAGCACCTGTTGACTTCTCTTTGATTCTTGCATTTCCACTCACCATTTCAAAGTCCGTCCATACAATTTGAGGATCAACAACCTTTCCCTTCAAAGCAGAGTCCAATACATTTCTCAATTTCATTGCCACGGAAGTTAACTTGAGTGGCTGGCCTGCTACAATAAATGCCTTCATTTTTGCATAATAGCATTCAATAACGTCTTGAAAACTCGGAACAACCGGACACCAATTTACCCGGATCAATTCAGCGGAATACAATTGCAATTCACAAGTCCCAATTCTTTCCCTCTTTGTGCAGTAAAACAGAATCAAACAATGATGAAAAATAATGCAAACCAATTCTTTCCCTCTTTGTGCAGTAAAACAGAATCAAACAATGATGAAAAATAATGCAAATAATCACAAAATCAACACCAAGATTTTTAACGTGGAAAACCCGATGTGGGAAAACCACGGGACCGTAGTCCATCCAAAAACTTCTACTATCAACAAATAATGGGTTCACAATTATTCTTCCTCAGATTAAACTAAGGGATACAACATATATATCATCAAGAACAACTTATTCTCGGATTACAACAAGATTAAAGGAGAATTATTTGAGAAAAACTCACAAAACTGACAGCCCTTTTTTCTGTCAAAACGGCCAGCTTCCACACCACCAATCTTCGATCCAACCGTTCCGACCAATCTTCGATCCAACCGTCCATAATGAAGATCAACGTGTCTAGAAGCTGCTGTCAAAATATCAGCCCGATCCAACGGTGAACGAGCTAGAAATCAAAGAAAGAGCTCAGGCTGCTCTGCTGCCTCTTCTTCTCTTTTTCTCTCTTAATTTTCTTCTCCTCTCTTCTAATTTCAATCTATTGCTACAGTACCCGAACCACACTAATATTAACACTGCTACAGTACCCGAACCACACTAATATTAACACCAAGAGACAGCCATCACATGACATTTAATGTCATAGTCCCACCATCACATGGTGTGGGACCATACACAACAAATCTCCCCCTCACACACCATGTGAGGAATTCACCATACCGGCGATCAATATGTAAAATTCAATTTAGGAGGCTCTGACAAGCCTGCTTCCTTTCTGCAAAACTCAAACTTCTCTCTCAGTAGAGGTTTGGTCATCATGTCAGACACGTTGTCATCAGTATGGATCTTCTCAACAACGAATGACTTCATCTCCATAGCATCTCGAATCCATTGATATCTAACCTCAATGTGCTTTGATCGAGAGTGAAAAGTAGGATGCTTACTGAGATGGATTGCACTTTGACTGTCACAGTGCAACATAAAGTTCTCTTGAACTAGGCCAAGTTCATGCAAGAACTTCTTCATCCATAACAACTCTTTGCCCCCTTTAGTAAGAGCAATATATTCGGCCTCTGTAGTGGATAATGCAACACATTTTTGCAACCTTGATTGCCATGAGACTGCTCCCCCTGCAAACTTCATCAAGTATCCTGATGTGGACTTTCTAGAATCAACATCACCAGCCATATCTGCATCTATGTATCCATCCAACACAGGTTTATCATTACCAAAACATAAGCTGAAACTAGAAGTACCTTTGAGATACCTGAGTATCCATTTCACTACTGACCAGTGTTCTTTACCAGGATTGGAGAGGAATCGACTAACCACACCAACTGCATGAGCTATATCCGGCCTTGTGCAAACCATGACATACATCAAGCTACCAACTGCGGATGCATAAGGAACCTTTTTCATCTCATCTTTTTCTTCATCACTTGAAGGACACTGCTTAGAACTTAGTTTAAAGTGGCTTGTAAGTGGAGAACAAACAGGTTTGGAGTTGCTCATGTTAAATCTCTCAAGTACCTTTTGAACATATCTCTCCTGAGATAGCCAAAGTTTTCCCTTCTTCCTGTCACGTGTGATCTTCATACCAAGAATCTGTTTTGCTGGTCCCAAGTCTTTCATTGCAAAAGACTTGCTCAACTCTTCCTTCAACATCTGAATCTTCTTAGCATTATAGCCAACAATCAACATATCATCCACATATAACAAGAGAATAATAAAGTTTCCATCTGGAAACCTTTTCATAAATACACAATGATCAGAAGTGGTCTTGTCATAACCATGATCCACCATAAAAGAATCAAACTTCTTATACCATTGTCTTGGAGCTTGCTTTAACCCATATAAGCTCTTTTTCAACTTACAAACTAGCTGCTCTTTACCTTTTGCTTCAAACCCTTTAGGTTGCTCCATGTAGATCTCCTCATCCAAATCACCATGGAGAAAGGCAGTTTTCACATCAAGTTGTTCTACTTCAAGATTCAAACTAGCAGCTAAGCCAA